GGCAAAAGGGGGTGGATGGGGGGCATCTGTAATACTGTCGACAATAAAGAAAAAATGCTGAACGTACAGCATTTCTTTTCTGAAGGAAACCCCCCTCGGCCAACCACTAACAAACATCTTGGAAAAGAAATCTGTGGAGAGATGTCTCCGATGGAGGCTAACAGCAGGCTGGGAGGGTCGGGAAGCCGGATAAGGGGCTCAGCGCAGTGGGGACGCGGCGGGGACAGAGTGTGGACGGCGCCAGCAGCCGCCAATAAGCAGTGAGGAATGAGAGATGACACTTATTGAATTTTCTGTATCTTGGTGACAGCAACTGGGGTCTTCTCCGAGATGCACTGGTTGTTTATAAAAGGTGGGTAGTGTTCACTAATTGGAAGTACAGCTCTTTAATTTCAGAGACACGTGCTCTTTGGGCCTTTTAGGTTGAAACAAACCACCACCATCCCGCATGGCTGTCTGAGATGCAGCCACTTTCTCTAGCACAAATGTCACCAAAAAATCTCAGAGCCCCCTCTTTAGAATAGAAGACACTCACTAACCGGTTACAAAGGGCAGTCTCCCTTTTAGAAAAGCTCTTCCATGGAAGGAAATTGAAAAAAAAAAGCGCTAACAGTGGTGATTGATAATCGGTGAGATCACGGGCCACTTAAACATTTTTCTTTCTATACTTCCCAAATATTCTGCATTGAGCACAAATTTGGTCACAACCAGGAAAGCACAGCTTGTCAGGGCTGCGGGGATTCTGTTTTCCATTCCCTCCCCCTCTTACATCATAAGCTGGACAGGGCAGCAGCACAGGACTGTCCCGTCTCAGGGCGTGGCCGACGTGACCACAGCCGCTCAGCCTCCTCAGCCGAGGGCGACCTCTCTGCCTTCTGAAGACTTAATGCCAGTACAGTGCCGTCCAGAGCAAGGTCATCGTACCTGTTAGGAGGCCCAGGGCTGCGACTCCGGGGGCCCGGCGGTGAGCAGCGAGCTGTTCCGGGTTTTCCGCAGGCTGGACTGAGCCGCGCGGGCTGTGGGCACGCGGTGCGTGGCGGGCCTTCGCCGTCAGGTGGCCGAGCTGTGCTGCCTGCGCCCTCGGAGGGGCGAGGCCGGCCGCTCAGACAGGCGGCAGAGGGAGGCGAGTTTCGGAACCGCCCATCTGGTATCCTCCGGTTTGGGCTTTTTGTTCTTTCCGAAGGACGGGATTTATTGCTGAAATCGGTCAAGATGAGGGTTGTGGTGCCAAATGCCGTTTTCCTGTTGACCTTCAGGTCCGTGCTCGGCTTCCCAAAGCTGTTGCAGGGGAACCTCAGCCGGCTGCTGAAGGCAGCGGGGTTGCCTTCCATCTTGGGCACCGGGTCTGGGAGAGAGAGAAGTGATTCTGCTGTGTTCCTGTGGATATGCTATTGAGCACTGGAAACTTCTTTCTGTTTGACTAAAACCCTTAGTTCCCTGATCACAGTGAACTAATATGTAGAACTCATAACACAGAGTCAGCCGGGCCGCTCATGACTAATCTCCATTAGGGAAGGAAGCACAACCTGCAGCATTTTAGCAACTCAGAGGGACCCAGAGTTGGGTTTAAGACAGACCCGCACCTGCTTCGCATTATGTTTAAGCACCTCGGGGTTACTCAGCCCTCGCTTCTGTTAGCGTCAGCTGCAGGGCTGAAGCAGGGGGACGGGGGGTGTCCTCGCTAAGAGCTTTAGGCTGGCAGCTAAGAGGCTGCCTCTAGTTGGTCAGGAATGCTTCTGTGAATGACAAGACAAAGTGGGGGCTCATTAAAAGGAAGAAAAGACGCCCTGGCCAGTTTGGCTCAGTGGTTACAGCGTCAGTCCCTCCACAGAAGGGTTGCGGGTTCGATTCCCGGTCTAGGGCACCGACCTGGGTTGCAGGTTCGATCCCCGGCCCCAGTCAGGATGCATGAAAGAGGCAACCAATAGATGTGTCTCCCTCACATCGATGTTTCTCTCTTTCTTTCTCACCCTTCCTCCCTCCCTCCCTTCCACTCTCTCTGAAAATAAAGGGAAAAAATATCCTGGGTTGAGAATTAACAACAACAAAAATAAACTGTAAACATTTAGCATTATTCAAAATGTTTCAGCACAGCATCCTAGGATTTGGGAATCTGTACTGTAATATATTCTATCTTATGGTTAAAATATGCATCTGTCACACTCAGAAAAAAAAATAACAAACAGCAAGGTGTGCAAAGGCATTTCAGAGTGCTGAGGTACATGTGGGAACCTAAGGCTGGTTTTCTGAGGCTCTCTGCTGGGGACACCGAGGAGGGAGAGGCAGAAACAGGTGACGGGGTCCCCTCTGCTCTGTGCGAGGGGGACAGCGGCCCTCAGGCCCAGAGAACGAAACCCCGATCCGCCAGCTGACACAATGTGGGTCCCAAAGTCAAGGAGGAACTTTCTCGTCTCTAATTGAAGAAAAAAATAGCACCCCGGGAACACAACAGAGGCCTCACGGATGAGATGGTTCTTAATCACAGGTACAGGTTTCCTCTGAGGTTTCGCATTCTCCGAATGCACGGAATTGTGAGCTACAGAGTTATTCTGCAGGGTTTCAATGAAATCAGCACAATTGTCTGGGTAGAGATTTTAATAACAAGAGGCAGGAAGCATAAAGAAGGGAAAAAATTCAGCGTTTTTCTATTCCACCTGCAGAGATTCTTACAGCAACCTCCCTTTCAATTTATGAGACGCTCGCTCGGACTGAACAAGAGACTAGGAAGTTGCTGGAATCTGCATAAAACAAAGCTTCCCTGAATAATTCATCAGGCTCCTGGGAGCAGATGGGAGCCTGTCAGTTTCCAGAGATACAAAGCACCTACTCTTTTAGCACAAGCATGTTTCCCTCCCTCTTGACCAAACATCGGCGTGATTTACACGCAACGGCGGGCAAGGCCTCGAAACCCCTCAGAAAGGAAGCGTTTCCCTTAGTTAGGAAACAGCACGCGGGAGCAAGGTACACACCTGACATGCTGTAATTAAGCCTCTTTGAAAAGGAGTGAATTCCAAGTCCAAGCTCAGCCGTCCCAGCAGGCCTTGCAGCCAGGCAGGCGTCGCAGGCCTGGGAAGAAGGCGCGTTGATCAGCGTGCAGGCCGAGCATGCCCAGGGCTCCTCACATTTGGTGGCCACGTCGTCCAGGGGATGTTCCCGTCGGCTGGACGTCCGGCTGTAATCGGTGTTTCTAGCTGGCAGCTTGCTGTGGAGGATTTTTACAGTTGACCATCAGCACCGTCATTATTGCCTGGTTCTTATACATTCTGGGTATTTCAGAAACTATTACAAAACCGTTAACCTACCCGATGCTACATGCTTACTATTGCTTACAAGGTTGGACACTCTCAATAAAATGTTCTCACTTGGGACCCACCAACTGTGGTTAAAGAAAGAATTACCAAATAAAAGACTTTATTCAGAGTCAAGGGGTTATGTTGTGCTTTTTTTTAACATTTACGAAATTAATTTCAGAGAGAGGAAGGGAGAAACATCGATCGGCTGCCTCCTGTAGGCTCCCTGCTGGGGATCAAGCCCACAACCCGGGCCTGTGCCCTGACCGTGAATCAAACCATGACCCCCTGGATCCCAGGTCGATGCTCAACCACTGAACCACAATGGACAGACACTTCCCCATTTCTTAATCGCCTGCAAACCAATTCTTTCCGATCTGCCCTTGGATGTGTAACAGGAGTTTCAAACCCAGCATGTCTGCAGTAGACTGAACGATGACCCCCCAGAGATGTCAGGTCATAACTCTGGGACCTGTAAACTGCTTTAAAAAGAGGGTACCCCTGTTAAGGCACATCTCCCAAACTCATCCATCTTTCCCGCCCTCTCCCCGCTTCCCCAGGCCCATACAGTGAAAACTTCTCTGTCGTCTGGGTCTGAAACTTTCTACGTTATGCTACATATCAAACCTGTCACAGTTCTTGTTGACGTGCTAACTTTCTAAATGAAAGGGCCCGCTTTCCTCTCCATGCCCGGGGTCCTGTCCTCAGGAGCGGCAACCGCCTCTTTCCATTACATGGCGCGACCCTCGCACACGGGCTCAGGCCTCTTCACGTTCCACCCTGACTGTGCCGTGACCAGGGGACATCCCCCACCCTGACGTGGGCGCCACAGCTGATTCCTGCGGCTTGATCCTGTCCTGCCTGTAAAACCAGCTTTTCCTGGGAAACAAATGGAGCCTTCATGTTGGGTGGCCGGTGTCACCATCAACCCGCCAACATGCACACGTACTCATGATCCATAAATAATGTCTCTTTTCTCATTTATTTAACCAGAATTCCAACTCTCTTTTTAAAGCAAGCTTCAAATGACACTTGTCTGGGAGATCTTCCCAACCTCGTGTGTCTATACGGACCCGATGCCCGAGCTCTAGCACTGCCCGTGTGCTTCACGTCTGCACTGACAATCACACGCCTGGCTGACAATCGCATACACTGACATGCTCCATGTCCCACACTGTCAGCATTTCCCCCGGCCGTCCCCAAAGGGACCTGTGGCCTCCACCAGGGCAAGTGAGCACTGGAGGAAGGGAATTACCCAAAGGGACCTGTGGCCTCCGCCAGGGCAAGTGAGCACTGGGGGAAGGGAATTACCCAAAGGGACCTGTGGCCTCCACCAGGGCAAGTGAGCACTGGGGGAAGGGAATTAACCGTCTCTCAGGGACTTCTGTCTACGGATTCAAACCGGCACTAATTCCAGGAGACACAAAAGGTCGCCGTGGTCCACCAGTCCGGGAGGGGCTTATGGAGGTCAGGATCAGCGGGGTTTTAGTTCAAGTTCATCTCTCTGTGGGTCCAGGGGGTCCCTGGACCCAACCTTTGGTCATTTCCCCAGTTCTCGAAAACATAACTGGAACAGACCCTCAGCTACCACAGGATCACCGCACAGGTTTAGTTAGTTGGTCGTTTCACCAACGAGACCTAAGTTTTGTAAAGAGCATCCTTCATGTTTTATGTTATTCCTAAACGAAGCAAGAACGTTTGGAGATAGTTACATTTTTCCAGTTATTGACATACCTACACCTCCTCGTAATCATATTACAAACAAGATAAAAGCCAAAGGCTGGATGTTAAGATCTGAGCTAGAGATTTTCTACTGAGTTCGGAAGTGGTCCAAAGACCAGCTTTGGCTCCTTCTGGCTCTTTGATGATGTTATTTACTATTTCCTTCCTAGGTTCAAGTACTTCCTGAGTTATGCCTTCTTATTAATAGCCTGATAGCTATTCAACTCTGTTCTCTTATTAATGGCCTCTTAGGGAACTGGGCAAACAGTACCCCTTGAAAGGAGACATCTCACCTCTCGTCAGCACGATGAGGATCTTCCCTCTGACACTGGGGACAGAAGTACGTCATTCTGTTATTTTCCCCCAAGCGACACACCGTGACTTGGCAGCCACACCGGCCGCAGTTAGGACGCTTGTAAACCTTAAAGTGTGTGGAGACAGCAAGTCCTGCTTTACGGCACTAAAAGGAAACAAAAAGACAACATTACCAACAAAACAGCGTTGCTAAGGAGCCAAGGATAAATTCTTGAAAGTCACTTCTGAAAATAATGCTTTAAGAATTTGCGTACGCTTGTACATACATCCAGATCATCTTTTCTTTCATCGGAAAAAAAGGTATCGACAAGATTCCGCAATATTTGTCATATAAGATTCGTGTGAATTAATTAAGTCATTACTTTATGACTTATAGTATTCAAAATTGTTCTTTGAATAGCTTTACTCTCTTATCTAAATGGGATATAAGAGTTCTATAATTTAAAATGTCTTTCATGCTGTTAAGGGTCTTAAAAAATTAAACATAATTATGTAGTTAAAAGAAAAAGAGTAGATTAGTGCTAAGTCTGACTATTTTTGGAACATGGAAGCCGTCCACTTTGTTTCAACAGTCAACAGAAAATTTAACAAGATCTTCTTTGTTGACCACACGAAGGAGAGTTTTTAGTTTTTAATCTTACAGATTCACTAAAAAAGAAAATAAAAATTCAAATGCCATCCTTGGAGAGAACAGGTTCCATTTGGGTATAAGTCCTATTTCAAAAGACATTTGATATTCTCTGTCACAGTTTTATTCTGCTCACATACATCTAAAGCTCCGACAAAAGGAATATTTTGGGTTTATATCAGCAGTGTGAAATTTTAAAGGCCCAGAAATATGGCTCATCACATGTAAGCTTAAAGTTACACAAACAGCTTAATTAATTTAAGCAAAGTATTGAAAAACCTGACTTAATCAGGGCAGAAAATGGGTAGCTGCCTATAATTATCTTTCTTCAGGAGACTAAGTGAGCATATATATTAAAACAGCAGTAGGTACTCAAGGCAGGTGTGTAAAGCAAGAGGTTCATGAATACTTTAGGCCAATCAATGAAGAATTCCACAATCCCTGCCTTTCTGAACAAAGTAAAAATAAAAATTTCGAATACAGCAAATGGAATGTGGAAAAAAAATTGTGGTGCTGTATTTACAAGATAAAATGTGTTTACTGAACCCTCTATGTATGCATAGGTATATAGCGTATCTGTAACTTGCAAAATTTATAGTTTAGCAGGTATGCATTTCATTCTCAGAACAGTCTTTGGGGTGGATAACTACTGTCCCATTTTACAGATGAAGAAACTAAACTTAAAGTTACCTAAATAATCTCAACCACACAGATAGCGGCGGCGAAATCTGATTGAACTGAGGTCCGTTTAAAGAAGTCTTATCTCTCTAGGCATCCTGTATTTTACTTTCATATGTCCAAAATACAACAAGAGTCCAAGTCAAATGCTAACACAGTTGTTCCCCAACTCAGTGTAAAAACACCTTCGTATAATTAGACAAGTTTGGACGGATCCGTGACCTAAAATGTGAAGCTGTGAACAAGGCCCCGACCTTGGCGCCCGCAGTCCCTGGACTTCCAGGCTCTCACCACGAGGTGGCCACATGCGGCCTTGGCATTCTGGTAGAATCCAGGGGAGACAAGAGATATTTTACGTAATCGGAAAACACTTGCTCTTACCCTGTAGAAAAGAAGGCTGAAGTCACGAGTTCTTTCCACCAGCTGATGGATCTGTTCCCCTGTCAGCTGAGAAACCTGAAAACAGAAAGGCTGATCTGTTCACTCCAGAAAAATGACACCACTTGCCAGGTCTGAGAGGTGTAAATAGGTTTCAAATACACACAGAGCTCCACGGCTCTATTCCTCATACATCTGTTTAGTGTCATTAACGGTGGTTTTGTTTATTTATGTATTTATTTTGCCAACCCTCACCTGAGGATATGTTTTCCATTGATTTTAAGAGAGTGGAAGGGAGGGA